TGCAAAAGTTTGGGCACCCTGCAGAATTTATAGCATGCACTGCCCCCTTTGCCGAGCTGAGACCTGCCAGTGTCATGGATTGTTCTCAATCATCGTCTGGGAAGACCAGGTGATGTCAATCTCAAAGGTTTTAAATGCGCAGACTCATCTGACCTTGCCCCAACAATCAGCACCATGGGTTCTTCTAAGCAGTTGTCTAGAAAACTGAAACTGAAAATAGTTGACGCTCACAAAGCTGGAGAAGGCTATAAGAAGATAGCAAAGCGTTTTCAGATGTCAATATCCTCTGTTCGGAATGTAATTAAGAAATGGCAGTCATCAGGAACAGTGGAAGTTAAAGCAAGATCTGGAAGACCAAGAAAAATATCAGACAGAACAGCTTGCAGGATTGTGAGAAAAACAATTCAAAACCCACGTTTGACTGCACGATCCCTCCAGAAAGATCTGGCAGACACTGGAGTTGTGGTACACTATTCCACTATAAAGAGATACTTGTACAAATATGGTCTTCATGGAAGAGTCATCAGAAGAAAACCTCTTCTACGTCCTCACCACAAAAATCATCGTTTGAACTTTGCAAATGAACATATAGACAAGCCTGATGCATTTTGGAAACAAGTTCTGTGGACCGATGAGGTTAAAATCAAACTTTTTGGCCGGAATGAGCAAAGGTACGTTTGGAGAAGAAGGGGCACAGAATTTAATGAAAAGAACCTCTGTCCAACTGTTAAGCATGGGGTTGGATCAATCATGCTTTGGGGTTGTGTTGCAGCCAGTGGCACAGGGAACATCTCACAAGTAGAAGGAAAAATGGATTCAATAAAATTTCAGCAAATTTTGGATGGTAACTTGATGCCATCTGTGAAAAAGCTGAAGTTAAAGAGAGGATGGCTTCTACAAATGGATAATGATCCTAAACACACCTCGAAATCCATGGGGGATTACATCAAGAGGCGTAAACTGAAGGTTTTGTCATGGCCTTCACAATCTCCTGACCTCAACATAATTGAAAATCTATGGATGGACCTTAAAAGAGCAGTGCGTGACAGACAGCCCAGAAATCTCAAAGAACTGGAAGACTTTTGTAAGGAAGAATGGGCAAAGATACCTCAAACAAGAATTGAAAGACTCTTGGCTGGCTACAAAAAGCGTTTACAAGCTGTGATACTTGCCAAAGGGGGCAGTACAAGATATTAACTCTGCAGGGGGCCCAAACTTTTGCAGACGCCATTTTTTTGTTTTCTGTTATTTTGAAAGTGTAAATGATGGAAATAAAATCTAACTTTTGTTGACATATTATAAGAATGTCTAATCTGTAATTTGATGCCTTTTGGAGATTTTTCCATCTTTCCTTGGCTTCTTTATGCACATTAATACAAATTTTTAGCTGGAGTGCCCAAACGTTCGATCCCCACTGTATATATATATATATATATATATATATATAATATACACTCATATATAAATATTTACATACAGCTTGAACACGTCACCATTTTTCTCGGTAAATATATTTCTAATGGTGCTACTGACATGACATTTTCACCACATGTCAGTAACAACCCATGCAGTCCACACATACAAAGACACCAAAACAAATTAGTTCAAAACATAAGTTATGTGTAATAAAATAGAATGACAGGGAAAACGTATTGAACACGCTAACTGAAATTTATTTACTACTTCGTACAAAATCCTTTGCTGGAAATTACAGCTTCAGGACACCTTCTGTATGGAAAAACGAGTCGCATGCATTGATCGGGTGTGAGTTTGGCCCGTTCTTCCACACAGTCTTCAAATCTTGAAGGTTTCGCGAGCCTCTCCTATGAACTCTGATCTTTAGTTCTTTTCATAGATTTTCTTTTGGATTCAAGTCAGGTGATTGGCTGGGCCACTCAACAGTTTTTTTTTTTCTTTCTTTGAAACCAATTGAGAGTTTCCTTGGCTTTGTGTTTGGGATCATTCTCTTGCTGAAATGTCCACCCTCGTTTTATCTTCATAATCCTGGTAGATGGCAGAAGATTTTTATCAGGAATATCTTGGTACATTTTTCCATTCATCCTTCCTTTAGTGACATGAAATTTGCCAGTACCGTATGCTGAAGGACAGCCCCACACCATGATGTTCCCACCGCCATGCTTCACTGTTGGCATGGTGTTTTTGCCGTGATCTGCAGTGCCATCTGACCTCCAAGCAAGGTGTGTATTATGGCATTCAAAGAGTTCCATTTTGGTCTCATCTGACCAGACTATATTCTTTCACTATTTCACAGGCTTCTCTAAATGTTGTGCAGCAAACTTTAAACAAGCTTCAACATGTTTCTCTTCAGCCGTGGAGTCTTGCGTGGTGAGTGTGCATACAGGTCATAGCAGCCGAGTGCATTACTTATTGTTTTCTTTGAAACAATTGTAGCTGCTCATTCTAGGTCTTTCCCAAGCTCTCCTCAAGTGGTCCTTGGCTCCAGGCCAACTCTTCTGATTATTCTTTTCACTCCTCTGTCAGAAATCTTGCAAGGAGCACCTAGCCGTGGCCGGTTTATGGTGAAATTATGTTCTTTTTACTTCTTGATCATGGCCTCAACAGTGCTCAGTGGAACATTCAGAAGTTTAGAAATCCTTCTGTAACCAATGCCATCAGTATGTTTTTCAACAATAAGGTCTTGAGAGACCTCTTTGCTTTTACTCATCATGAGATGTTTCTCGTGTGTTATTGTTCATGTTAGTAATGAGCAACTTTTTATAGGCCATCAGTTGAGACCGAACCAACTGACATTAATTTGCACTGACAAGGGGCAGGATTGCTTTGTAACTACTGATAGATTTAAGCTGGTGTCTTGGCTTTCCATGCTTTTTTGCACCTCCATTTCTTCATGTGTTCAATGCTTTTTCCCTGTGTCTTTCCATTTTATTTCACATAGCTTAATTTCTGAACTTATTGGTTTTGGTTTCTTTGTATGTATGGATTGCATGGGTTGTTACCGACCTGAGGGGAAAATGTATTTCAAATATTTATTCAGTGCAGCCCGATTTTCAGTGCAGCCTGAAAATTGCCCATCATTGCCGTCAGTGCTGCCAATCTGTGCCCGTCAGTGCTGCCAATCTGTGCCCAGCAGTGACACCAGTCAGTGCTGCCTAACAGTGCAGGCTATTAGTGCCCATCATTGTCACCTATCAGTGCCCATCATTGTCGCCTATCAGCATCCATCATTGCCACATATCAGTGCAGCCTCATCAGTGCCTCCTCATCAATGCCCACAGTGCCGCCTCATCAGTGCAGCCTGTCAGTGCCCATCAGTGCTGCTTCATCAGTGCAGCCTATCAGTGCCCATCAGTGCCGCCTCATCAGTGGTGCCTCATTTAGGTTTTGTGTTGCCTAGGGCAGGACAAAACCTAAATACACCACTGCCGGTTGGCAGCAGCAGCCACGAATGGCTGCGTGAGTAGGGCACGCACGCTCCTCGCACGCGCCCCCCCCCGGAAATTCAAAATCACGTATATATACGTGATTTTGCACACCCATGCCGCCCTGTAGCAGTATATCTGGGAAGCGGTCAATAAACTGCCAATACTACACTTCGAGGCCTAGGGCAGCACAAAACCTAAATACACCACTGGGCATGATGACAGGTTCTCTTTAATTGCAGATTATAGCAGAGAAACAGGTTCTGGTATATTTTTATGGTAAAAAAAATGATCATAAATACGTTTTTGAAAATGTCACTTTATATAGGGAAGCATGCCTTTCCTCTCCTTCGGCCTTTGGGATCCACTTGCCATCATTTATTTGGGGAAGGAGTTGCGGTGTTGGCAGGGTCTGCGCTCGGTAATTCAGTGCATTGAGATGCTGTGTATTATCGGCCTGTAATAAAGGTGTCAGTGAAGGAATAGATGGTCTCTCCCCAGCTGCTGCACAATATCTACGATCTCCGGAGCACGGCTTGTCTAGTATATCTTATCATACCGAATCCTATAACACCTTGTATGGTTCATTGCTTTTCTTTAAGTGGTGCAATAAATTCTGTTCGGTTGGATTAAGTAAGAGGTAACTCTTCACAGGTTGGGAAACTATAAGCTACAGCAACAGCAAAGCCACAGGGCAAGTTTTAGGAAGGGATTATCTATTATGAAAGGTGTGTGTGGGGGGGGGGGGGGGGGGGGGGGGGGGGGGGGGGGGGGGGGGGGGGTGATTAGGGAAGACTGAACTCTAACTTAAAGTGTTACTAAACCCACTACAGAAAAATCAGTCTGTATATGCAGTAAGGCATGCTTGTTATACTCACTGTTAGGGGCAGGGGCGGACTGACAACTCATGGGGCCCCCGGGCAATAGGGGATCATGGGGCCCCTGTGTCCTTGCCCAAAAAAGCCTATGAAAAAGGTACCAGGGGCATCTCATGGGGCCCCCTACTGACCCCGGGCCCTCGGGCAGTGCCCGAGTTTCTAAATGGTCAGTCTGCCCCTGGTTAGGGGGTTAATCCTCCGCATTTTGTAAAAAGGCTGTTTGATCCTGTCTTTTCTGATCCTCCCCTTATTCTACTGTCCCCAATCCATCTGCTGATAATACAGAGCCTTGGGGGCAAGCTGCACATGCTCAGTTTGGTGTTTATTGCTAGAGAGTTTTTTATTTTTCTTGGGAGGGTGCATGTGATCTGCACAGGGCCAATCAGTGCTGTCCAGACAGAGGGTCAGGGGTTATGCAGCCTCAAAGGACAATCGGGGGAGAAATGAAAACTCCTACTACAAGCTTAAAGCAGTGCTCTGCTGGACACTGATAGGAGTCACAAGCCTGCTCTAAGTGCTAATGAGAAAGGGATTTAGCAGTTTATATTTACTAAAATAATTGCATTTACATGTTCTGTGTACTGTGGGAGACCAGATATAGTGAATGCAGGGTTCAGGGAGATCGGATATAGTGAATGCAGGGTCCAGGGAGACCAAATATAGTGAATTCAGGAGCCTGGGAGACCAGATATAGTGAATGCAGGGCCCGGGGAGACCAGATATAGTGAATGCAGGGTCCGGGGAGACCAGATATAGTGAATGCAGGGTCCTGGGAGACCGGATATAGTGAATGCAGGGTCTGGGGAGAACAGATATAGTGAATGCAGAGTCTGGGGAGATCGTATATAGTGAATGCAGAGTTCGGGGACACCGGATATAGTGAATGCAGGGTCCGGGGAGAACAGATATAGTGAATGCAGGGTCCGGGGAGATCGGATATAGTGAATGCAGGGTCTGGGGAGATCGGATATAGTGAATGCAGGGTCCGGGGAGACCGGATATAGTGAATGCAGGGTCCTGAGAGACCAGATATAGTGAATGCAGGGTCCGGGGAGACCAGATATAGTGAATGCAGGGTCTGGGGAGACCAGATATAGTGAATGCAGGGTCCGGAGAGATCAGATATAGTGAATGCAGGGTCCTGGGAGACCAGATATAGTGAATGCAGGTCTGGGGTTTAGTAACACTTTAACAGGCTCATCATAAGAAAAAGGGTGACAGGACTGCCATTCCACAAGAGGTAGATACTGGGGCACTCAGGAGACGGACGAATCTGACCTCTGCCACTCGGAGCCGAAGACTGGAAAGCAACCATGGCAGCAAGAGTCACCAGGGGGTGACGTCACGACACCAGAGTGTTGCGGTCCATTGTTGTGTTCCAGTCTTCGGCTCCGAGTGGCAGAGGTGTCGGCCAGCTTCCTCCATCCACTGCAGAGACAGACACCCGAGTGCCCCAGCGTCTACCCCTTGTAAAATGGCGGTCCTGTCACCCTTGGTCTTTTGATGAGCGGGTTATGTCTTTTATCATGTGAGTTGCCTAACTTCTTTGTTATTATAGTCTACACTTAGAGGATCTGTTTTTTCTCTTTTCTGTTGCATATTTGGAGCCAGCTTTTGCTCTCACCTCAGCTTGCCTACAGTGGATGGGATTTATGAGACATTTAAACTGTTCTGTTGTATTCACACCCATCTTAGGACTCTTGGTATAAACCATGTTCTATGCGCCTAATTTTTTACATTTGTCTGGTACTTAAAGCATTTACTTATTGCTGACCATCTGTTCTTGAAGTTAAATTCTGTTTGCTGCATGATGCAAATTGTTTTTTGGTTTGTTTTTTAAACTAAATGCAAGAACTGTGTTCATCCAAACCACTGTGACACTCAGCCCGATGTCTAGGTCGGGAACTATAGCTGGCAAGGATTCTTCTGCCTTTATTCCTTTAAGGCAGTGATCTCCAAACTGTTGCCCTGAGGCAGAATGTGGCCCTTTGCTTGCTTTTACCCTACCCTTGGGCCATTATTCCCACCACTGTTAGCAACAGTGGGGCATAGTTCCTGCCATTGACACCAACGATGGGGCACTATTCCTCCCACTGACACCAATGATAACGCAATATTCCTCCCACTGACACCAATGATGGGGCACTATTCCTCCCACTGACACCAATGATAAGGCAATATTCCTCCCACTGACATTAACGATGGGGCACTCTTACTCCCACTGACACCATCAATGGGGCACTATTCCTCCCACTGACACCAATGATAGGGCACTATTCCTCCCACTGACATTAATGATGGGGCACTCTTACTCCCACTGACAACATCAATGGGGCACTATTCCTCCCACTGACACCAACGATTGGGCATTATTCCTCCCACTGACACCAACAACGGGGCACTATTCCTCCCACTGACACCAACAACAGGACAGTATTCCTCCCACTGACACCAACGATGGGGCACTATTCCTCCCATTAACACCAACGATAAGACACTATTCCTCCTACTGACACCAGTTATGGGTCACTATTCCTCCCACTGACACCAATAATGGGGCACTATTTCTTCACCTGACACCAACGATGAGGCACTATTCCTCCCACTGACACCAATGATGGGACACTGTTAACTCCCACCGACACCAAGACATTTTCTACACCTGCTGGCCACAGTCCGGCCCTCCTAAAGTTCGAAGGACAGTTCATTTAGACAGCTTGGAGACCCCTGCTTGAAGTCAAGCAAGTCTACCAGTATTTAGTTGCCCCCAGGGCTTAGTATAAAATGCTATAGTTCCTGGCCTGATGGCACCAGGACTAAGTGGAGGTAGCAGAAAGGGTACATGTGGTCTTGTGACAGATCAGGCATGAACCATAGCATTGTGGGAGAGAGTCTTTACAAAAGTATGAAGGCTGTTGGTGGTCTGGAGTCTGGAGAGGTGGTAGCTGGTATTGTTATCCTGTGACAGTCTGAGGTCGGAACAGGCAGTGGGCAAGCATGGATCAGAAACAGTTCTGATGCCAGGGCAGGCAGCAGATAAGTGTAATCAGGAAACAGTCCGTGGTCAAAACAGGTGGCAATCAGAGAGAATAGCCATATTCCAGACAAGGGTCAGCAACAGAAGAATCCAAAAACAAGGCAAGGAGGTGTAGATATGGTAGAGAGCCAGTTATTGAGATGCTATCAGATATCCTGAGCGCTTGGCCTGTGATGCTCAAATAAAGTGCTCCAGCACCACAGCCATGATTGGCTGTGGTGCTGCAGCACTTTATTTGAGCATCACAGGCCTGAGGTGAAGGAACAGGCAGAGATGCTTCGTAACTGGAGTAGGAACTGGCTGTAGAGCAGGGTCCACCACCAATGAGACACCAGCTGGGCCGAAGACAGCAGCTGTTAACAGGTAATAGGAAGGAAGGAAGTGTTGTCACTGTTGCTTGGCGATGGAGATGCAAGCTGAGGCTGGAAGGTGGGGAGCAAAGATGAAGCATTAGACTGTCAGGTACTCTTTACAACCACCTTAAGTTATATCACTCACATTCACTTCACCGCACCCCCATGGCAATAGTAAACATAAAAGTTATGCATACACCTATTAGGCCTATTATTCCTGATTAATACTGACAGGCCATTGGCCATTTTATATACTGTACCGTTGTATCATCTGCAGTCTCTTAATTGTAGTTTAAAAACACCTCATTGTGCCATGTGCCTCTACATTTACTCCAAATAAAATAGACCTGGTGTAAGGACCTGGATCACCTGCTGGTGGCACCATGGATCCCAGAGCTGAAGGTTGTAGTTCACAGGTAGGTGCCTCCCAGCAGTCAGTAGATCCCAGTACTGTCTCCACCTGATGCTGGCTGCTGGGAGGGTATATAGTCCTTCTTCTGCTAGTGTCTCTTGCTTCAGTGTTTTGCTCTACTAGCCAGATATTGCTTGCCATTTATCCTGATCTTGCTTTTACCTTGTACCTATACCCTGTACTATGCTGCCTTCTACCCACTTCCCTTGTTCCCAGTCTTGGTTCCCCCTTCCCTGCACCTCCAATTCTGCTCTGCTTTCCTATGTTCCTCATTTTGTACATCATTTATATAGTTAGTTTGTTAGTTTTTCTGTTACTTAGGCTGCTATGAGATTTGAACATGGTTATGGTTCACTTGTATCTTCATGTCTGCTGGTGTTTGGATGTCTTTTGTTTTAAAATAATCAACTTACTTTGCTATATTCTGTATAGTCTGATCAAAGTTTCCTAAGTGTAGCTATGCAGATCTGTCCATCCGTGCTGCTGATCATTGACTCTTGGGCCAAGCTTTTTAATTTATGGATGGTGCCTTAGGATTATTATGTCTAAATAAAACATAATGACAGACCACAAATAAAACACTCTGAGACCTAGAAATTCCCTCAGAAAATTAATTTATTGGTATCAGCCAACATAATTTATATTATTTCAATACATCATCTGCAGAGGGTGATAGCTACACATACAAGTGAACTAGGCAACACAAGTCACTGGTGATCCGCTAAGCATCATCATTTACTCACCACGAGGGGTGAACAAGCCCACAGTGGCCCAGCCATTGCGTCTCATCAGAAAAAAAAAATTAAAAAAAACGTCAGCGTTGTCCAGCAACAGAGGTCTTCTGTAGCTAAGATTAGCTAATGGACACACAGAAGAGAACAAAGAGCACCGGTCAAAATAAAATAGCAAATGTAACTTTTCTACGTCTATACTCAACACGAATAGCTGAAATCCCCTATGTACATTCAGAGTGGGAATGTTACTTTGCCCGGCAATAATGGGAAATTGGTAAGTACTTTAAAGGGGACCTATGGTATAAAATAAAGGCAAAGCAACATGCGTGTTTTGGGCTCCCATGCCTATCCCCAGCAGCAGTGAGGTCATAGGAATGGAGGAGTCAACTTGCAGCCAGAGCTAAGGTGCGAGAAGATCGGCAGAGCATTACTGAAGTAGCTGAATTTGGCCTGAATAGCCCCTTGATGGTACTCCCCAACATCTTGTACTTCAGCAGGAACCATATGTTCAGTGCCATGGCACTGGTCACATGAGTCTATCAGTTTCCCATCTTTATGTTGTGCAACTCTACCACTATTTTTAAGTCTACCCAAGGTTTAATGGGGCTTTATTTAATAACGTCACACAACCAACAGAGAAAGACCCTATGTGATGGACATGTGTCGTTCTTCAACTTAGAAATGTAAGAGTTGATGTTCTTGTACACAGAAATACAGTGAATTTGACCCTTGTGTTTACATTTGTTCTTCCTAGCCATGGTTGCAGAGGGATCCAACTAGAGTGCATTAAACAAAATGCCACAACTTCGACCTCGTCACAGGGACCCCAATGGCCCAGCATAATTCCAAGCAAAGTGAAAGCGCCTCTGACAACATGTGTGCATTAAGAATTCAGCCCAGGCAGGAGACCCAGTGGTGGCTCTATAAACAAAAACTACCCCAAAGTCCAAAGTGCTATTAATTCGCCACTGGAGTAGTGATTATGTCATCAAGCTGAAGCCTCACTAATGTCATTTATGCACTTTGGAAGACACATTGTACAGCTCCTGTCTACAAGGGGGGATTCCAGTGTTCCCTTCCCTGCAAATACGGGAGCAATATGCTTTAGATCCCCAGCAGACACTGGGCCCAGCAATAAGGCCTAGGACACACCACACCCAAAGTTTGATCTACCATAAAGGACAAAGATATAATAGCAGATGGGCCCATTATTCCCAAGGGACCTAACGTTTCCCACACACTATTGGTGGTGCAAAGTTGTCACAAAAAAAGTTGCAAATTGTAATAAATGATCTATTATGTTGTAGTGACCTTAGTTTGTAACATCCAGGGTTCCAGGACACCCCCCCAAGGGGTGGCTATGGATTCCTTGAGCTGTGGCTAACTGCCCTCCCATCTGCTGGTGCCTGCATAATTCAAGATCCAACCCAACTTAGCAGAGCCAGCACATGACTGCAAGATTGTCATTCCAGCCACCCTTGTAAGGGGACATTCTTTCCATTGATCACCACCAATATAAGAGGCATTTTCCCCCTGAGCCCCGATAGACTAATCTTACCAGGAGTGAAACCTGAAAATTATTTCAAGGGTTCCTCTAAGGCAAAGACCCTTTGCCTGGCTTTATCTGGCCCATGGAGCACTATTCCACCGAATGATGCCAATGAAAGGACACCATCAATGAAGCACTATTCTCTTCACTGATATGAACAACGGGGCACTATTCCTCCTAG